AGCCACAGGACCACAATGAATGGATAAAGAAAATCTGGGGGTGGGGGAAGGGTTAACTTGAATGAAACTTCGGCAAAGGCCACTTGTCCAGGGGGACAGAGATGTAGTCCATCCTTCCTCCATCCTTGAGGCTAGTTCATGCCTCCACCAACTTTGGCAGTTACATCCTTGGAACGAGCTCTTCAACCATCCACTCCTGCCTTTCCTCTTTTGTAAGCCACGCTCCTTAGATTTCGTGCAAACAGTCACTCCCTGGGGAGAAGTTCCGAGTGCACACAAGTGTGCACATATTCGAAGCCACGATCAGGAATGGGAGGCTGTGGGAGCCTCCCTTGCAGGCACCGCGGTGTGCAGATCAGCTGTGTGGACGTCGCCCTAAAGCCTGAGCCTCCATTGTGACTCTGTCTGAAAGGCAAAGTCCAGGGAGAATTTAGAGACAAAGGCTAAGGGGTTAAAGGCAGTTACACAGTGGAGTATTATGCAGCCACGAAGAAGCACAAAGCCATGTAGAATGTTAGGTGAAATAAGTCAGACAGAAAGACACATCACATGGTTTCTCTTACATGCTGAATAGAAACAAGCCAGACTCAGACAAATATCACATCTTCTCTCACACTTGGAATCCAAAACAAGAACAATAAAACCCCCATGAGAGCAGAAGTGAAACTAATTGGGCAGAGGAAGGGACCAGTGGGAGGGGCGAGGGGAACAAGAGAGGTTACAGAAAGAATTTTGTCTTCAGTGCCCTGGAGCCAGGGATGGCACACTTTTACTGTAAGGGTCAGCATAGTCGGTAGTTGAGGCTTTGTAGGCCATGTGGTCTCTGTCACAGTGTGTGGTGCGTGGCTGTGATCTAATAAAACTTTATTCACAAAAACACGTGCTGGGGTCAGAGTTTATTGACTGCTGCTCTGGAGTAAAAACTTCAACAACTTCTTCCTCCTCCTCCTCTTTCCCTCCTCCTTCTTCCTTCTCCCCATCTTCTCCCACACAGGCAAATGCCACAGAGCCCTCCCTCTCCCTCTCCTTCTCTTCCTTCTTTTTAAATGAGGTGCCCTTTGACTTCTTGGTAAGTGACAGAATGCCTGATTCTCCTGAGCTTGTGACAGCAAATGCAAATGTGGCTGGTAACACTGGTTTAAGGGAACCATGCTGGGAGGGGAGCTTGCAGGACTTAGACACTGCACTGAAGAAATGGCCCTGTCACCGTAGGAAGATGAAGCTGAGGGCGTCTACTCCCTGGTGCCTCCTGTCACAGACACTCCTTGTCCCTCCAATGAGGGGTCCTGACTAGATGTCCCCCAAAGCACTCCAGCCCTGACCCAGGGAACTCTGCCTTCTTACTGTCTATGACTTCCCTACCCTACCTTTGATCTGCAGGTCACCTGGAGCCTGAGTCCCCTCTCCCTGAAAAAGTGAGCCTTGCCAGAAAGACTTCCTTTTTCCTTTTTTTTGGTGGGACTAGAGTTTAAACTCAGGGCTTCACATTCACAAAGCAGAATGTCACACCTCCAGTCCATTTTGCTCTGGTTATTTTGGAGATGGAGGGCTCACAAACTATTTGCCTGGGCTGGCCTCAAACCTCCATCTTCCCGATCTCAGCCTGACAAACAGCTAAGTTAACAGGTGTGAGTTCCCAGTGCCCGGCTTTGAAAATGTTTGTTTTTGAAATTTTTAATTAAATTAAAAAAGATTTTTTTGGTGGCACTGGTGTTTGAACTCAGGGTCAGTCATTTTTATGATGGTTTTTTTTTTTTTTCGAGAGAGGGTCTTGAGAACTACTTGCCTGGGGCTGGCTTTGAGCCTTTTTTTTGCTTTATTATTTTTTTAAGGTTTTAAAAAATTCATTTATTCATATGTGCATACATTGTTTGGGTCATTTCTACCCCATGCAAAGCCTTCATCCTCCTGATCTCTGCATCCTGAGTAGCAAGGATTACAGGTGTGAGCCACTGGCAATTTAACTTAATTTTTAAGAAGATTCCTAAATAACCTCATGCCACAGCCTGGGGTATAAAGGGGACACAGTCTAACATAAATATTTATATTCTGAAAGTTAGTGTCTGCCATGACAAGGTCACACCTCAATTCTTCAGGGACTGATTTTTAAGTTTGAGGAACTTCCAGGCCTTTTAAGGGAGAGGAATTTAAAAAGGCCTTCTATAGGGTTAGGTAGCACAGAGCTGCTTCGTACCATTGCCTCCCTCCCAGCCCCTCTTCTCCTTTCTCCAGTCTTAACCCTCTCCCTACAGGCTCCTACCTCGGCTTGGAGCCCTTTCGGATTGCCTCCTGCAAGTGTCACCTTCCATACTGTTGGCAGTGTTGACATAACAAAACAGAGTGGGTTGTGATGTCTGCATTTGGAAGATTGTGGATGGAGGCCAGCCCAGGCAAATAGTTTGGGAGACCCCATCTCCAAATAACCATAACAAAATGGACTGGAGGTGTGGCTCAAGCGGTTGAGCGCCTGTCTAGAAAGCACAAAGACCTGAGTTCAAACTCCAGTCCCCCCCCAAAAAAGAAACATAGCCTGGCATGGTGACAAGATTCCCAGGTGAGCTTTCTGCCCAACAAGGGGGACAGGCCCTGTCTACAGGATTGTTTTCAAACTTGGCCACACATAGGACTCCTCTATAAGACTAAAAATGCTGACCTGTGGTTTCCAACCCCAGGGATCTTTTTGTGCAGCCTGGACATTGTCTTTGTGTTGCTGCTAATCTTGGATGATTCAGTAAGTTAGAAGTCCGTTACTCTAGGACAGGGGCTCTCCTCAGCCCCCAGACCAGACCCCAAAGTCAAGCTCTGGGGACAAAGTCCCCCAATCTGGTTCAATTGCTCTCCAGGTAGTTCTGATGCACTTTAAGGTTTGAGAATTTTTTCTTTTTTTTTTTTTTAGGTGGTACCAGGGTTTGAACTCAGGGCCTCCTGCAGGCACTCTACCACTTGAGCCACATCTCCAGCACTTTTTGCTTTACTTATGCTTCAGGTAGGGTTTCCTGGTTTTTACCCAGGAGGCCTCAGACTGTGATCTCTTACCCATGGCCTCCCACATAGTTGGGACCAAAGATATGCACTCTCATGTTCAGTTTCTTTGTTGAGATGGAGGGTCTCAGTGACTTTTTGCCTGGGTTGGCCTAGAACCACCATCCTCCCAATATCTTCCTGCTGAGTAGCTGGGATTACAGGCATGTACCATGGAGACAAGTAAGAACTTGATTAGATAGGTCTGGGAATAACTTTCAAGAATCTGTATCTTTGGCAAGGTGAGGTGGTACGCACTTACCCAACACTCTCTGGAGGCTGATGCAGAAAGGATTGGGGGAGAGGGTGGAAAAAAAGGAATTTCCATTTATTAAGGTTAAGCTGCTGGTGGTCGTAGTCTGGTAGCCACACTTTCCCCCTAATTACTGGCTGAAAATATTTAACCTTGTTTGCTAAAGCTACACAGGCAGTTGGTGACAGAGCCAAGCCTCAAGCCCACCACTTCTCTTCAGCCCAAACTGCCTACCTCTGTTTCTTTGTATGTCTGAGGCCTGTACGGTCCTCCTGACTCGACTTCACCAACGCTGCCGACTTGCAAGAAATAGCTCAGTGCCTCATATTCGGCAGGCAGCTCGATGCACCTAGGTGTCACCCACCAAGTCATCCTCACTTCTAAATAATCACCCTTGCTCATCCCAACCCGCTCTTCAAGAGCAACTCCAATTAGGCTGAGTTCTGTGGTGGCCTCTGACCTGAGGTCGGGGAACTCCTCCAGGATGTAAAGTGACCCAAGCTCTGAGCCAGCCACCTTCAGGGGCTGGGATTCTCTAGGCTTGGAGCATGAGGGCAAAGCTTCCGGTCCCATCAGCTGCCCCCAAGACCTCTCCCATAGCGCGTGGGGAGAGGGAGGAGACCAAAGGACAAGTCCAGAGGCTAGGAAGAAAATGAAGGTGGAGCAGCACCCGGTGGCTGGGGACAGTGGCCTTCTACGTTCCCTGCCTTCTAGGTGCTGAATCTGGCTCCTGGTTCCAGCAAGCACCTGCAAACCACTCCTCTCGTCCTCCCCACCATCGGCCCCTAGCGGAGGGAGGGGGTGTGGGTGGCCACTGTCGTGGGATTCGCCCAGGTGGAGGACGCTGGGCCCGCACGGGAGCGGAGGTGACAACTGCTGCCTCGGGGATTGAATCCAGGGTGGGTGCCAGAAGCCCCTGCCAGTGGCCGCGAGGAGGGGGATTCGTGGGTCCTCACGCGGCGACGCAGCCCTTGCAGTGCTTCTCCAAGCGACCTGAGGCGTGGCCGCCCCTGATCCCGCACCCGCTGCTCCTGGCTTCGCGGTGCACGCGTCGCGGACGCGCCTCACTTTGCTTCTCGGCACCGCAGCAGGGCCGACGCCTCCCTGCTGGCACGTCCCGCGCTGGGTTCGGTGGCGCAGCGACGACAGCTGAAGTAAGGCCGGGCCCCAGGCCACCTCTCCCGGGGCGCACCTGCCCTCCGGGGCGGGCGCGGCGCGGAGGGACGAGCCGCGGCGCAGGTCGCCGGCGCGGACGCTGGAGGGGGCTGTGGCTCTCCGGCTGTCCCCGCGATCGCGGAGTGAGGCGCCCGGCTCCCCCCGCGCAGGGGCCGGCCCAGGCCGCCCGCACTTCCCGCTCGCCGGCCTCGGACGCGGCGGGTCCCGCGCGGGCGCAGCGGCTGCGTGCGCTCGGCTTGGCGCGAGGCGGGAACGCGGCCACCGCCCGCTTTGCGCCGCTCCTCCCGCGCGAGTGCCGCTCGGCCCGGCGTGCGGGCGGCCATGGCGACCCGGAGCCCGCTCCCCACCCACCCTGCCTGCTCCGCCCTCCCCTCCGCCCCGCGCCACCTTTGATGGCTCGGACCTCGGCCGGCCACCGCCAGCCCAGCTCGCGCGCCCGCGCCATCGCCATCGCCATCGCCGCCACCGCCGCCCGCGGGTATTAATAGCCCGCGCGCCGCCGCAGGCTCAGCCCGGAGCCGCCGCGCCCTCGCCCGCCGCCGACCCGGAGCCCGGAGCCCGGAGCCCGGAGCCGGGGACCCGGAGCCGCTGGAACCGCGGGCGCCGCGAGGTAGGAGGCGCGCGGGGAACAATGCCCGCGCCGGAAGGGCGGCCGCCGGCGGGGTCCCGGTCCCGGTCCCGCTCCCGGCCCGGGTGGCAACTTGTGCGAGTCCCGGCGCCACCGCGCACCGCGCCCGGGCGCGGGCCGAGCAGGCTGCGTGGCCCGCGGGGTCCCGGCCGCAGCGGCGGGCCAGGCAGCCCGGCCACAATGGCAGGAGCTCCGGGCCCTGCGCCTTCCTTTGCACCCTCTCTCTCGCCTCCGCGGACCTGGGTGCGGGGCGTCCAGCCCGTCCCCCAGTTGCCTCCCCACCCCCTGGCGCCCTTCCCCCCTTCCTGCCACCCCACCCTGCCGGGTGTCAGCGCCCGACGCCGCTTCCGGACCTCGGGCTGCAATCTCGGCCCCCGAGATCGGTTCCCGGGCCGGGGAGGTGGCCGCTGGCGCGGGTTGCCACCGCACCGCTGGGTGCCCCGCAGCTCTCCCACGCGCGGCGAGAGGCTCCCGGTGGGTGACAAAGAGGAGCACACCCTCTGCCTACATTAGATCTTGTCTGTTGATGCATGAGTGCCTTTATGGAGGGCAAAGTTTGGGGTTTCTCCTTTTTTTTTTTTTTTAATGCAAAGGACAGATTTTTTAAATTTATTTTTTTGGTGTTGAGCATTTCAAAACAACTTCTGATGGTGGTTTTACGATTTAAGTTCCGGAAACTTCAGCCGTGTGATTCAGCTGGATCCCTGAGAGAAGTGTGTGCATTGTATTTTTTTTTTTTTGCGGGGAGGGGGATCCGAGTTTCCTGTAATGTGTGGATTTCATTTCTGGCAGCTGGAGACCAGCGGTTGTTGGGGGGCTGTGTAGGGTCCCCCAGAAAGGAGGGAAATGAGGCTGACAAAGAAAGGAGGACCAAGGGAGCAGCTCAGCTTGTTGGAGTGTGGGAGTGATTGCGTCTCATCTGGAACAGTTTAGCTGTCCCCCCCACTCGTCCCCCGCCCCCAGCTCTCTGGAGTCCCCGCAGCCTCAGGCTGTTTCATTTTATTATTGTTGTCACAGCCTTCCTCCTCTGTTAGTTTCCCAGGTTTGCCTCGCCTACCCTGGCTCCCTTGGGGACCCCCCTCTCCTCCCTCCGAGCCTGCCCTGCGCTGGGTGCTGGCTAGCCAGCTTTCAGAACCTTCTCCAGCATCGTCTTGCTTTGCTTGTTCCATCCGAACAAGGGATGGAGAAGCAAAAGCCTCTTGTTCTGAAGGCTTCAGGGGGAGTTGCCTTAGCAATGGAGTTGGATTTTCAGAAGGCAGGGCCCCTTCTCAGGTCCCTGGCCTTGGCGGTCTTCCCTCCTTCCGCCCCTCTGCCTGGGGTTTACCCTCAGCCTTTCAGATGGGTGGGTTCTCCGGATGTGACACTTCCGATGATGCCCTTCGTCCCTGGGTCCCGCATCGTCGCCGCTCACTTTGTATTCCCGCAGCATCGTTGTGCAGCAAGGCAGCGCGATCTTGGAGTTACTCCAGGCACAACGAAACGTTTGTGTTTTGGGAACCTCTCCCTCATAGATCTGCTTGTGGGAAGAATAAATGGAAGTATTATGGGGCCGTGGCTGGTTTGCTGGGGGAGTTGGTGGTGGAGATAGTCAGTGGATGTCTGCTTAGGCCATAGTGCTCTCTGGAATCTCTTACTTATTTCTTTAGGAGGTTTGGAATGACACCTCCCACCTCCTTTTTTGAGATGGTCTCTCTCCATAGTCCAGACTGGATCCTCCTGCCTGAGCTTCTGGAGTGCTGGAATTAAAGCCGTGCACTACTGCACCTGCCTACGATTCTGCTTTTCACACTGATATTCCCCTCCCTGGAATGGATATTAGAATACCAGCCAAACTTACCAAAAGACAATTTTGAAATAATCCATCCTGAACAACTTTCTTTCTGGGTTCTTGCAAGTTGTTTTAGAATTTTCCTAAAAGTGCAAACAACCTGGACGAATGGTTTTGTTTTGCTTCTCATTAAAGAAACTGTTCAGGACTGGAGATGTGGCTCAGTAGTACAGTACTTGCCTAGCATGCACAAGTCCCTGGATGTGATCCTAGCACTGCAAAAACCAAACCAAACCAAAACAGAACCAGAGTCCCGTGAAATTGCATTTTTTAGAGAAAAGAATTAAATATAGAAAAAAAGAATTAAATATAGTATTGAAAGGGTTAGTTTTAAAATGGAGTCCACAGTCTAATGTTCATCGAGGACACGTTTACTTCATTTGGAAAATGAAAAAGGACTTTTTTGGCCAGGGGTGGTGGCTCACACCTGTAATCCTAGCTACTTGGGAGATGGAGATCAGGAGGATTGTGGTTGGAGCCAGCCCAGGCATAAAGGTTGAGAGACCGCATCTCAACCAATGACTGTGCTAGGTGGCATGTGCCTGTTATCCCAGTTACCAGGGAAGCACCCAAAAAAGAAAGGATCATGGTCCAGGCAGGCCCAGGCATAAAGCAAACCCTTACCTCAAAAGTAATCCAGGCAAAAAGGGCAGGCAGAGCGGCTCAATTGGTGGAGTGCCTGCCTAGCGAGTGGGAGGCAGTGAGTCTAAACCCAGTACCACAAAAACAGAACAGAACAAAAGAAACAAACAAAAAAAGTCTTTTTCCATCCTCAACGACTGTCAGGAACACTAGACTAAAAGAAAAGAACCTAGTTTTTTGCATGTTGAATGCACTTTAGATGCCCAGGGGAATTTTGGGGAACTGTGACTGAGTAGGTACTTAGGTTTTGACAGCATCAGGAACCTGCGTTTTAAACAGATCTTTTGTACCTGGCCCAGTGCCTCAGTATTTTTGAGAAATGCACTTTCTTCTTCAACTGAAGATGCTACAGATAAGAGGGGACCCACCCAATCCTGTAATCCTGTCTTCAAGTCCTGCCCCCTGGACTGTTGCCTGTGTTGCTCACCATTTTTTTGGGGGGAAGAGGGCCATGGGTTTTAGGTTTTGGCTTTGTTTCTTCTGTTTCTCAAATCTGATTGCGAGGAGGGCTGTCAACGTGGGGCTGTGGAGTGAGTGGATCGCTGTCTTGCTTTTTAGTGGCTTGAATTTAGGTTGTGTCTTTATTTACTCTTTCAGCCATGGTGACACAGGTTTGGCTGTTAACCTCACTAATCACTTTCATGAGGCCCAGAAGCCTGGTTTCTATTAAAATTACTCAAAATACTGACCTCTCTATGCCAAATACAGTCTTTACTTTTAATCCAGAATACCCCCAGAAAATGTTGAAATCAATATAGAGAAAGTGACTTACTGAGATCCTGGTTCCCTGGTGTAAGTGAGCTGAAAATGTTTCCCAAGTCGAGTGGAAGGTAGACGATTGATACATCACTCAAACATGGTGGGTCCCCAGTGTTTGATACTAGTGAAGTAAGCCAGAGGGCCACTGATACAGTGTGACCCAGACAGAGGCCATGCTCTGCTCAGTGTGCTTGGATACTTCACAGAGCGCAGTTTTCTTCCTTTACTGTGCATGGGAATTACAGACAGACTGCAAGATTTGCAATTGATGTGGAAATTCATCATTGGCACTGAATTGTTTTTATGTGTGTAACTGTCATTTGTGCATGCATCTTAAAAAAAAAAAAGTCCACAGGTCAAACTGGACTGCCTTTAATTCTTTCTCATGATATCCTTATCACAAGAGGAGCTCCTTTTTCCTGAACACTTAGGAAGTGCCTTCCCTAAAGGTGTCTCACCGAGCACAAAACCTGGACGATGGTGACTTTCAGTTTTCCTTCTCATTCCAGTGCCCGGAATAAGCAAGCCCTTGGTAAATACTGGCGTGAAGAAGACACACCAGCTTTTTTTTTTTTTTTTTTTGGCAGAACTGGGTTTTGAACTCAGGGCCTTGCACTTGCTAGATTTAGTTTTTACTGCTTTGTAATTTAGCAATTTGATCCTCAAAGCTGGCTGTTAGTGTAAAAAGCCACATATACACAAAATCACGTAAAAGCATGAAGAAAGTAAAATGTACCCCAAATCCTGCCACCTATTACTGAGAATACGTTCATTAATATTTCGGCATCTGTGCCGGGCCTAGTGGTGCGTTCCTGTAATCCTAGCATTCAGGAGGCTCATGCATTTGAGACCAGTCTCTACCTTGTGAGATTTTTGTCTCCACAAACAATCAAACAAACAACAATAAACCCAACCAACGAAGCAGATGCTTTCCCCACATTTGACGGCATTTTTCCTGTTTTATTTGTTCTTGTCCACATGCTCCCTTCTTGTACTCTGGACCCTGCTCCTGGGCTGACTTTCCTTCCTCCCCAGATGCATCCTTCAGAACTCATTAGCCGGTAACCTCGGGTTTTGGGTGCCTTAAGCATCTTGCTTGTAAGGGATGGGCTGCACGGTTGCAGTTCTAGGCGGTGGGTCTCTTCTGTCCCCATTGCTGGTGTGGGCTGATTGCTACTTGCTGCTTTTAAGGTCCTTGGGTGCCTGCAGTTTCCCTGCCGAGGGTCTGGGAATTTCTTTTGTCCTTTGCCTGCCTCCCTCTCTCCTCTCCCCTCCCTCTCTCCTCTCTCACATGTCTTCTTAGCAGTTTGCGCCTTCCTGCTGCTCTGTGTCTGGATGGGCTCTGATTTCTCTGGCCACGCATTCATCTTTGACCAAGGAGTTGACTTTGGGCTTGGCTCTCAGTGAAGCTACTCTGAACATTTGTGAGCAAGTCTTGAGCAGAGGTAGTTCTCATTTTTCTTGCTGGATCTGATAATCTGGGCTTTTTAACTCCTTCCCATCTGTTTTCCAAAGGGGTTGAGCCATTTTACATCCCACGGGGTGTAGATTTCCGGGCACCCATCCTCACCTGCACTTGACCTTGGCAGTCTTCTGCATCTTACCCATTTCCGTGGATGGCAGTGCTGTCTTACTGAGGTTTTCTTTTGGATTTTCCTTCTGACCAATGAGACCTTTTCACGTGCTTACCAATTCCGTATCTTTTGTGAACGTCTGTTACATCTTTTGTCTTTATTTTTTATAACTTTATTGA